ATTTGTGAATACATTGGTTGAGGCATTCAATTGGATTTATATTTAGAAAAACATTTAATGCGATGAAAATAGAAATATGGAGACCAATAGGCAAACATTGGAGAATATTAGAGAGAGAGAGAGAGAGAGAGAGAGAGAGAGAGAGAGAGAGAGAGAGAGAGAGAGAGAGAGAGAGAGAGAGAGAGAGAGAGAGAGAGAGAGAGAGAGATGTTTTGAGTGAAAACATTTATTTGAAAAAAGTCTGTAAATAATAAAAAAAAGCCAAAACAGACCAAAAAGCGGGTGAAAATCATTGGTTCAACAGTGAAATGAACAACGATTTATCAAATGGTACCACAAAGTCTCAAAAACTAATGTAAATACAAATATTATATGTATTGCCTGTTATTTTCCGGCAATACATATCTCTATAATTAATAAAGTATTTTGAAATTCAATTAGACATCATTTATATTTTTTTCATATTAACATCAAATGACAATTGAGTTAATAGGCATTTGAGAAAAATACTATAAATATCGCATAATAACTGACAATCTAATCGATTAAATATATTATTATATATATATTTCAGTATATTTTTTATTGAAATATTTTCATTTCTATTTAAAATAGAGATAATAATTACCATTATTGTCAATAAACTTAAAAATATGCTTATAATGACATTTTTGCTGTTAATAAGACAATATTTGTCATTTTGAGTACAATAAATGAAAGAGTTAAGACAAATGACAAATATTTGTCTAAAATATTGTTATGCTTTTCAATATCTATTATATAATACAGTATTGTATGTCGTTTGTGATGCAAATATATTTGCATTACTGATAGTCATAATATTTATAATTTGATTGTTTGACTTAAAGTTGCGATGAGTTTTAATCATAATACATATAATTATTATTATTATTATTATTGATTGCATGAATGCTTAACAACATAACTACTAATTATTTTATTGAAACATATAGTATTATTATAAATTGATATATAACTATGGTATATAAAATGGTATTATTCATATTCATATTTAGACAAATATATTTTTTATACATCGTATATACTATATATATATATATTATATAATAATATATAAGTGTCGGCTCTTGACTCGTGTCAGACGGCAATGCACTTAACACAGGACTTATCAGAGCAATTAAAATTAGCTACCATTTCATGCAATCATGACTTCTTATATATATATATATTATTTTATTGTTATTTTTGGTGTTTCAATTTTTTATAACATATTTATGATATATATCTATCACTATAATGCAAGCGATCAGTAAAATTTGTATTACGAGAGAGAGAAAGAAAGAGACTGTTTTTAATCACATTTCTACACGTATTCATAATAATAATAATACTAATAATAATCATTTGTTAATCACTGGCAATAATAAAAGTAATCGATTTTATTTGCAATCATAACATTTCACAATATCTTATCTAAATGATTGAATTTTATAAAATATTAATTACATTTTTTTATTTATTGTATATGACTCCCAAAATATAAGTTTAAACTAATATTTTTATTAAATGTAAGTCTTGTTTGTCGACACAAATCAATTGATTGCAGCAATTGTTGCTAATTTTTTCTCAACGCTTCACCACTTGATTCACTCAATGATTAACTTTATATTAGTTTTAAAGTGTTTGATGATTAACTTAATGGTGCAGAAACTCTTTGTCTACAATCTGTGTATATTCTATGCTATAATTTACAAATTTAATATTATAATTAAATTTACTAATAATAAGGCAACTTAATTTAATATATAGATATTGTTTAATACCTGTAAATTAATTAGTCAAATATTAACTTAACACAAGTACTCGATTTAATGATTCAAAATGTCTATTAGTTTATGATTTAAATGAGTTCAAATTAATTACAATATTTATATATTTTTAATTAGTTTCCATGATATGAGAAATTAGTATTTTGTTTTTTTAAGTTTTGATATATTTTATTAAATATATCAAATATAATCAAGTTTTTTAAAAAAATTTATGCGTGATTTATTAAATACTTAATATGTTGAATTTACATTATTTTTATGTAAACAATATAAAGTTCAAACTTATTTCATATTTATTAATTTTCCCACTAATGTATTAATTATTTAGATTATACAATTATTGATATTTATATTTATTACAAATACTGTACCTAAAGGCATTTAATGCAATATCAATATATTTATTTTTTACATATTATATTTGAGATTTTTTACATTAAAATAAAGTTATAACTATAATAATTAATCGGTTATTCATATTTAGTGAAATAATTATTAAAATTAGCGAAACAATAGTGATTTTTGGTTTATTTAATTTTTTTGTGACTCATTTATGCCTAGAATTTCATTATTTGCTCTCATTTAATACATAGTCCTATTTAACATTATTAAAATGTGATTATTATTGCTATTTTTTAGTTATATAAAAAATAAAGATAATATTTTACAATTATAATTATAGTAAATATTTCTATTATAATTGTTTAAATAAATAATAAATAAATAAATAAATATATATATATATATATATCTAAATTTATCGCAAACATAACCTAAATCTTTTAAGTGTTTTGATTAAACGGGAGAAATAGGGAATTAGATTTATTTATATATACCTTTTCTCAATAGATTCATAGTATTTATTAAAACAAATACATGTCTACTGTTAAACATTATGTTAAACATAACACCAAACATAGTATTATGTCTGACATATGAGGGGACCGATTGGGACCCGAGTCTGGCTTCAAATTTAAGCATTTATGATGTGCTGTTAGCATAGGTTAGCTCAGTCTAAACAAAACAAATTCATCACAAAAACATTGTACTCTATCTGTCTCTCCCTATGTATATAATTGCATTGAATTGCAGGTGCATTGTATCAAACATTATGATTGATATCCCAATCAAACATTACTTATAAATATATTTAAACATTTATAACATGTATAACATATTCATAGAAATATAAGCAAAATATTTAACAAAAACTTAGTCTCTTTTAGGTTTAGTTCTCAACTCTCGTCTCAATTTACTAAATGCATAAACAAATCTTTACTTAAATATAATGTATATTTCATGGCTTTGTATTAATGGGTTTTTCGGTCACATAATTAAATAACTTAATTTCAATTACAATTTATTTTCATCACTTATTTAATATATTTACTAATTTGATACAAACTTATTATTTAATTTATACGTTAACGTTATGTTTATACTGTATTTGTTTAATACATAAAAAATAGTAAACAATTAAATTAAAAACAATTGCAAATTAAGCCATTTTGGTGCTAAATTGTCAAATCTTTTTGCTTATTATAAGATTCATAACTTGTTTAACTCTAAGTGATAGGCTATCACTGATAGCACATAATTTTATATAAGTAATAGGTTTAACAAAGAGAAACACAAATACAGGTCTAAACTAATTTAATTCATTGATTTCTTAAGTGAAACACAAAATGTTTTTTATGTTTAAAAGGGTTATATAAATGCCTCAAAGGCTTTGGTTGTTACAAAAGAGAAATACTTTCTAAAATATACTAAAAATTGAGTGAATAATTTGTGTACAAATGTTTTGAATTTTGATAGCAATAAATAGATTAATAGTTAGTCATTAATAAATAGGAATTTCATTAAAATATTTATGTGATCACGGATTGAACTCAATGGAAATCAAATTGAAATTCATATGAAAAATATTTTTCTATTTATTATTATTATATAAAAAAATATTTATATAAGAAATGACTTTTTATAAAGAAAAAGGGAATGTTTTATAAATGTTTGCCCAAAACATACATAATATTAAATAATATAAAATAAATGTGTTATTGTCTGTAGAAATGAAGCGCTAATAAAATTTTTGATAAATTAATGAATTACATGGAGAACGTGATTATCATTGGCTGTGATTGTATGCTAGAAATTGTTGCTAAAAAATCATAATAAATAAGTGAATCGTCTTTAATATAATCAATGCATCAAATTTTGTGTGTATTCAGTGGTTATATCAGTTTATATAGGGATAACATAAGCAGTGAGTGTAAGGAGACCTGACTTAGACCCCGAACCGGGACCTCCTGTTGACTCTCAACTCACGACTGAATATATATTCAAAGTTTATTTTTTTGAAGTTTGTTTCAATTGCTATTTACACCGCATTAAAAAAAATTAAAAGATAAATAATTTTGTTTTGCTCTCTCACTAAACTTATTTGCTTTAGCAGTCCTATTATCTGTTTTAATCGTATCCTAACCGCCCCTTTTATATATGTTTAATCAATGAAACCTAAACTATAAGGCCAGCCATACAGTCCATAGATACATATTATGTATAGTACTGTATATATATATATATATATATACAGTATTATATACACTTCATATATAATACATTAGATAGCAATGCAATGAAAAGTAAACTTTTTATATATAAGATTGCATTTTAGAAAAAGTGTAATCAATTATATTTATTAATTTAAGTTTTGCTAATTTTTCTTTTATAATAAATTATTGTTGCATTTGTTGACATCAAAACATATCATATCATATAATATTATATAATACTAAATGCTTTCCCCTCTATATATAACTAAATATAACATAGTTTTGAAAGATTTGAAAACTTGAATTCAATGATGAACTTCTATTTAAAATAATTTAATTCATAATCACATCATTTTTATTAATAAGCTTACGGTTCAATAATTTGTGTTAACAATTGTATGATAGATGTGTTTATGAACTGTCCTTCAATAGGCATATCAAGTGCTTTCATACATAACTTAAAGTAAACTAAACTTTTAGTTTTGTTAGGCTTTAAAAACATCTGAGACAACTATTTGAGTTTTACTAAATAACAAAAGTAATAGTTTTTATTGATTATAAAATCTATAATTAAATAATTTTTTAAATGTGATCTCTTGTGCTAAACATTATAACTAAATGTTTGTTTGTATTGAAGTCCAATCAGGAAGAAGAAGATGATCTGAGAGATGATGAGTATGACTCTGAAGAGGAGGCACTGGCAATGCAATCGTTGAATTCAATATCGGCTTTAAATTCAATGAATGCAATCAACAGAATCAAAATGGAGGACATCAAAGACAACGGCAGTAATGGTAGAGACACAGACATATTGGCCAGACTTAGACAACAAGAATTGGATGAAAGACAGAGGGATGAAATGGAAAGGGAGTTCAAGAATGCCCGCACACAACAAGAGATCATAGCTAACCTCCAGAGACAGATGGCTGCGGCCAACCAACTCATCAGTGGTCTTCCGGGCGCTAACTTTGCAAACTTAGCCGCTTCTATAGTATCGAGTACTGGAGGTGTTCTACCCCTCAACACAGTGACCAGTTCGGCCAATGCGCTGACTATGGCACCCACATCCACATTACTCTCCAGTTCCTCTCCCAGTGCTGCTTCTGGATCGTCGGGTCCCTCCTCTTCACCAGCAATACAAAGTATTGAAGCGGGAAAGGGATACACGTTTGAGGAACAGTTCAAACAGGTTTGTTGTCATATATTTTGCTTTTATTTCTTATCAAATTATGTAATGATTACACATTAATATTAAAGATAATGTCCGCTAAATGACAGCTAAAATCTCTCATTTTTCTCACTTTAATTAAAAACAAAATTTATTTATAAGTAATTTATTAAACTGTTATATAAATTCATATCTAATTTTTTATTATTTGCTTTTGTTATTAAATGAAATGTAATTAATTTTTATTGCATTTTAAATTTATGGCTCTTTAGTAAAAATTATGATAATAAATGTCGTGATAAGTGTATGATATCTTTTTTGGATAGTCATGTCATGTCTGAGTTTTTAGTTAATAGTGAAGTCTCAATGAAATAGTGATCCAATATTTTTTTGCTCAAAATTAGACAAATCATATGAGGTTTAATAGTGGATATAATGTTTATAATTGACATCTATTATTAGTCTACTGTTGTTAAGTGAGAGCATAACTTGTTTTCCGAGTGCTTCTTACAAATAAGCGGTACCTGAATACCTGTTTGCACCGGTAGTACATAACTCTCGACAGTACATCATACAGTATGTACTGTACATTGTAATAGGTATTGCACTACTTGTTGTAGGTCTGTGTCTACATATAAATTTATATACAGTGGCGTAACCGATGTGTGGCATTATTGACATTTTATTTAGCTTATATAATAATATTGATATATTTGCTTTTATTTAACAATATAGACATTTGATATATTGTATTATTATTGTTGTAATAATATCGACGAATGATTTTTATTTTGCCAAAAATTTTCTCCAGTTATTTGATGACAATAATTGCTAAGAAATTTATAGTCACCCATTGAATAATTGACTTTATTTTATATTAACAATACAAATGTATAATCAAATGTATATATTTTTAATATTAACATTACAATGACTTCTTAAAATACAATACAATCTGGAAATAAAGTTTTAAAAACAACACCTTTAGTAAACATTAAAAAAGAGGACTATAATGTTGTAATGTAATGGTCACACCATATAATAAGATTATCAAGTGATGGGGAGGGGAGGGGTCACAGACATAACTGAGAGAGAGAGAGAGAGAGAGAGAGAGAGAGAGAGAGAGCTCAGGAACCTAACACTGACATTGTGTTTGTGTATGTTTGTGGCAATGAATTTTTGACAAGTAATGCAATGTTGTGTAAAACAACAAAAAAGGTATTGAGTGTATGTTTAAAAAAAAGTTGGTTTATTATAAACTTGTCTGCATATATGTGGGCCACCCAACAGTCAGTTTGTTTTCAAGTGATGAATGATCCGTCTCTCTCACCATTACTATAATAATGCTCTCTCTCTCTCTCTCTCTCTCTCTCTCTCTCTCTCTCTCTCTCTCTCTCTCTCTCTCTCTCTCTCTCTCTCTCTCTCTCTCTCTCTCTCTCTCTCTCTCTCTCTCTCTCTCTCTCTTACATTTCATCCCATCTCATCCTTCTCTCTCCCTCTCTCTCTATATATATTTATTTAAATGTAATCAAACTTGTCTTTCAAATGCTTTATTTGAACAAAATATAAGTATACAAAAATTAAATACTTATCATTATATAATGTATATACAGTATACTATATATTTATATATATGTATATACTGTATATGTTTAAAAATGCATAAATGAGACAAGTTTTATACATAAGATATAGATATAATAAAATTAAAAAAAACTTATTTCATATTTATTTCGATTGTTTTCCTATTTAGCAATCAATCTATTATATGATTGCTTTTGTTGTCATTTAATTATAAAAGCGTCCAATTATTTCAATCTAATCACTCTTTTATACAGTGAATGACTTTATTTGTCTTATAAAATACAATGTCTTAATAAAATACAGGTTTCCTATATTTCATTACATACTATAAGAAATTATATGTTTAGCTCATGTCTAGTCTTAACTATAGTTCAATTAATTAGAAAAAAATATTGTGAAATCCTCCCATTAATACCCTTATAAACGTTGCCTATAATTATATTTTGAAAACATCTGATTAAATTAATATATTTATTTCCTCAAATTGTTGTAAAATATAATGTCGATATTTTCATAAAATAACACTTAATTGAATAATAATGCAATTAATTAAATACCTGAAAAACTATTTTATGCTTAATTTTGCTACTTATTAGACTAGTTTTATATACAATACTGTTATAATGATAAATTGATTACATTTTTATATTTTCCTGTATAAATGACTAAAACAATAAAATTATACACATTTAATAATATACAATATTTATACCATTTTTTGTATATCCAATATACCAATACATAAAGATATAAATTGGATAATTAGACTTAAAATCATTGTTGCCTAAACAATGCTAACAGTTGTGAACTGACTATATTACAGTATAATTATTCGTAAATTTATGTATAAAATTCAATAACTTATTTAATGTTTTTCAATAAATAAATGCAATTATTATTACTACAGAATTACTACTACTGTACTGTATATGTAGTCTTTATAATAATAATACTGTACTTTAATAAACTAGAAATATAAAAAAAAAATAAAAAGACATAAATTTTAAGGGAGAAAATTTATTTTAATTAATGTTGTATTGAATTTAATTGAATTGTTATTTTGAAATCAAATGACAAATGAAGGTTTTTTTGTTATAAAATCAAAGTTTTTTTAACAATTATAAAATATCTATAAATTTTCTTAAAATATTTTTATTGTAAAAATGAATAATTTATTTTTTACATATTTATATATAGATAATTATTTAATCAATATTAAAGTTAGTTTATAACTTATATAAAATTAAATTCACTAATTATAATGTTTATATTTATAGTTTCTATAAATAAATTTACTGTACTTTTACTGTAATTGAAAACATAGTAAAGCTAAATACTTTTTGATACCAGTGTTTATTTGACTTGAATTAATGATATTTTATTAATGATTTAGCTTACATGATATTGTGCTTATTGTTTATCTTAATTTATTAAAATAACATTAAATGTTAAATATCAGGTGTATATAGTAGTACTTTATTTATTAGTTGATTCAATGATAGGCTATCATTGATAGCTATGGTAAGCCTTATTTTAATGTTTGCTTACTGTATAGTAGAAAATATTTTATAATAGTAATGATTATTGTAATAATACTCTAATATCGGCATTTACTAAGCAATTCATTTAATTATATTATTTATACTGAAATTTTTGTTTCATTAGTTTATTATTTATAAAAACATATCAATGTATTTATACTTTAATCGTACCATACAATTGATTTACTATTTTATTAGCAAACATACTTTTAGTCGAAATTATTTAAATATTTAAATAAAGTTGTTATGGGTTTATTAGGGAGTATTGTATTAAGACTTATCAATAATGTTGATACAGTTGGTTATAAACAATATATAAACAATATATACATACAAACATTTTAGGTGATAAGGTTTTAATATTGTATATAAAATACGATTATATTTTAGGGTAATAACATTTCCTATTTTTTAGTGTAAATAACTAAACAATATTGATTTTTGCAATAATTATTATTGTATATTAGTTTCATTGTTAATAGATATTTAAATTTTAACCTTGGTTTTTATTTTTATAGTCAGTCTATTAAAAACTTATTTTTGTTTAAATTAAAATTCTTTGCAATAAATTATTTTATTTACTTAATAATTACTATTAAAATTGAAATTATTACTTTAAGAAATGGTCATAAAATTTTATTTATATATTAAATATGATAAAAGAAAAAGTAAAATTAAAAATAATATATAAACAATATAAAACTCAAAATTTATATTATAAGAATCAGTACATACAGTGTTATAAATTTATAGTATAGGACTACTATATTATAGGACATAACAATAATTTTGTTGCTTATAAATGAATTAAAAAAGAAAAATATATGTAATTTGAATGAATGTATAAAACTGTGTATTAAATTAGTGTTGTGTTTGTATTATAAGATTGTTGTTGTGTTGAGACACATATGAATGAATGATTAAACAGAAGAGAGAGAGAGAGAGAGAGGATAACAGCAATGGGTTAACTAATCAACACATACATCAATGAGCTTTTAGTTGATGTTTGTCTGTGTATGTATGTATGTATGTGTATATATGTATGTGTGTGTATGCATGTGTGTGTGTTTATGTGTTTTGTGTACTTTAGATAGTATTTGTATTGAGTGTTATTATATGTACAGAGTATATGTGTTGTAGTATTTGTTGAATTTAACGCTTCCGAGAGTTAACTCCAGTGTTAAACACTATATTTTTCTAATAGTTTTCTTTTCAAACAACAAAATAATTTTTGGTGTTTTCAAAGCTAATTGAATTCGAGTTGAAATTCTTAATATTTTATTTTTGTGTATAATTTGCCAAAATTTATGCATTCTTTAACTTGACTTCACATCACATCAAATACAATGTGATATATTTAATAACTTAACTGAATATTATATTAATTTTATACATTAGATTAAGTTCTTAACTAAAAGTAATTATTTGTGACAATTCAGGTATTGATTTAATATGTGAAATATAAAAATAGCTTTAATAATAATAATGTTGTATTATTTTAGAAAATATTCAATTAAATGATAATAATTTTCAGTAATAGCAAAGACAAGTATTTATAAAATTATAAAATGAGAGCATTTATTGTCGATTTCTTTAAATATATTAAACTTGTGCTTATGTTTCTGTCACATCTGAAAGACATTTCATCTATTTTTGGTTTATCGCCACTAAAACTTGTGCTAAACACTCGCCAGTCTATCTCTCTCTCTCTTTCTTTCATTCTCTCCCACTCACTCTCTCACTCACTCACACACATACACACACTTTCAGACTGTCTATCATATCTGTGGTACATATGTCGGGCAAATGTGTGTTCCTATGCATCTCACTTACACTACTCATGGAGTTAGCACAAGACCAGGCAATTGTGCGATCAGTCGACTTTCTCTCTCTCTC